GGATGAAACTAGCTGCCTGCAGAAATTAACCATTGTCTGAAGCTGACAGTTCAGACTGGGTTCTGGGAGACTGTAAGAGGGTTTTATCTGAAGTCATCTGTGTGACACACTTTAGTGATTCTAATAAGACCTCATTTGTATGAGAGAATCCCTATTGGGAGGTAACTTGTGGGAACTGTGGTCTCCCAAATGCACCCAAAGGAATTTGTTCAACAACAGAGCCTCAGACCGCTGTGTAACTATAACCTAGATGACTATGTGTTGGATACACTAGACATAAAATATTTTTGGCATGCTTGATTTGTCATATGATCATGTACCCCAAGTCTTCAGAACTGTGAATGGCAAACCACTGCCTGTGGATCAAATCTATTTTGTAAATAATGTTACAGTGAAACACAGCCACACTCATTCATTTTCATATTGTCTATGGCTACTTTCACGCTACAAGAACACAGGGAAGTAGCTACAATAGAAACCATATAACCTACTATGATTGTTAAGATTGTGTGTCAACTTGGCCAGGCCATGATTCTCAGTGTTTTGGCAGTCGTATAATGCTGTGCTCACTTCCCTGTTCAGATTTGATATGTGATCACTCCCATGATGGGATCTGCTGTGAGTAGCCAATCAATTGAAAGGGAGTTTCCCTGAGTGTGTGGCCTACATCGAATATATGACCTGCCAATCTTAGGATTCATTGATCTTCACAGCCTGTAAGCAAGAGCCCTGCTCGCTGACCTGTCGATCTTCCGGTCACCAGCCCTGAGGCTATGTGAATCAGGAGAAGCCTCTATCCTGACTTGGGACGTTCCAGCCTCTATAACCGTGTAAGCCGTTTCTTTGAAATAAATCTCTCTATATATATTTATACTCTTTACTGGTTTTGCTTCTCTAGATAACCCAGCCTAAGACACACACAAAGCCAAACATATTTATTATCTGACTTTTTACAAAAATTTATTTACCTGACTCTTGTTCTGTACCATGTTTTTGTGGATAGTGGACAATAATCAAGGTGAAGAAAACTAGTAAAACTAA